GTGGTTATTACTGAAACCTAATCAAGCGTCTGCTCCGAGGAGAAGGGGAGCGGTCAGCTTACAGCTTCGGGGACCGAAACGCGTGGGCGGCGATCACGGGCAGAAAGTCCCCGAAGCCGCAAAGTGCGAAGCTGCGGACCGCTCGGGCCGAGTCGCTCCAGGCCCCCTGGCCCGATTTCGGCAGCCGATCAGCAGCCAGGTGCACTATTTAACATTGTGGAAATACACCAGGTGCACTATTTAACATTGTGGAAATACACCAGGTGCACTATTTAACATTGCGGAAATACACCAGGTGCACTTTTAACTGCGGAAATAAACCAGCACTAGAACCCGGGTGGTGTTTCAGGTGACCGGCGGTTTTCTAGAACCTGGCCGGAACTCGAAGCTTGGGCCAAATGGGCCTGGTGGGAAGTTGGGGGGGGCGGGGGACAACCTTTTTTAAATATCAGCATTTAACACGGATTCCAAGCAAGACCACCCCCGGGGTCAGGAAGATGGGGTGAGCAGTCCCGAGGCCCTGACCTCCCCACGGCCAAGCACCGGGAGCGCCCCGCCATCTGGAGACAGAAGGGGTGTCCTATGCGACGACGGTCAGGTCCTCGCAGGGACACCCAGGGCCAGGCTGAAGGGGTGTCTGTGGCGCAGGCCAACATCGCCAGGACGAGTCGAGGCAGGACACTCATGCCCGGGACCCCACCTACCACCTCAGCCCAGACTGTCCTCTCTGCTCCAGGAGACCGGACCACGTGGCCGCCTAACTAAGACCCAGACGTGGAGGGGGGGGGTGTCGGCCGGCACCCCGCTGCTGTCCCCTTTGCTTCCCCTTTATTTCTTGTAATTGTCCCGCTTCGAACTGAAACCGGAGCTCTGGGGAGGAAGTCCGGGGGAGAAGGCTTTCAGATACCAAAACCCATAGGTCCCGTACCAGCCCAGCAGGCCGAACAGGGTCCCGAACACTTTCTGGGCGAAGTCGTGGAAGTAAACGGCTGTGCAGAGGAACATCAGCACCCAGAGGAAGGTCAGGGCGCCCAGGGCGATGACCAGGCTGGTGATGGCGGCGTGCAGGCGCTGCTCGCGCCGCGTCTTCACCCCGTGCAGCACGGCCATCTCCTCCACGATCATGAGGGCGCAGAAGGTCAGCAGGAAGGAGTGGCCCGAGATGTCGAAGCCGTGCCAGAAGCCGCCCGCCCCGTGACACTGCTGCTTGCTCCGGTGCTCCCTCCGCAGCCCCTCCAGGGCGGGCGAGCCGTAGCAGTTGCCCGTGTAGTGCTCGACGTTGTGGAAGAACGTGGTGCACCCGTACCAGATGGCCGTGCCCACCAGCAGAGTGGTCAGCCGCTGCAGGACCAGCCTGGGCTTGCCAGTCAGCTGGTAGGTGGTGAGGGCAATGAAAGGCAGCAGGAGGCTGAAGGTCCAGGCCCAGGCTACTTTGACAAAATACCTGGCAGAGGAGAAAAGAGCAAGTGACCAGATGGGGAGTGACGGAGGGGAAACACCGCCGCGAGAAGGGTCTCTATACGCCCAACGGGGTCCACCATTGCGAGAGCTCCCGAAGGCTCTAGAACCAGCGGGGCCGCTACGTTCCCGAAATACTTTAATCCTTAGTTAGCAACCTCTTAACGCGGCTCTCTGAGGTTTGCCCATTTGCCAGATTGAAAAATGGCGTCGCGGTTAAGCGCTGGGCCGCAAATCTAAAGGTCAGTAGTTCCAAACCACCAAGCGCCCTGAGGGAAAAAGAGGAGGCTGTTGGCTTCTGTTAAGATTACAGCCTTGGGAGGGGGGGGGGTAAGATTAGAGCCTTGGGCAACCATGAAATATACACCTTTCCTCTAGTTCCTAAATGCTTCCTGCCTCTCCCCCTCCCCCTCCACTATCATGATCCCAATTCTACCTTACAAATCCGGCTAGACCAGAGGCTGTACACTAGTACAGATAGAAATTGGAAACACAGGGAATCCAGGACAGATGATCCCCTCAGGACCAGTGCCGAGAGTGGCCATACTGGGAGGGTGTAGGGAGGGTGGGGTACAAAGGGGAAACCGATTACAAGGATCTACATGTAACCTTCTCCCTGGGAGATGGACAACAGAAAAGTGGGTGAAGGGAGACGTCGGACAGTGTAAGATATGACAAAATAATAATTTATAAATTATCAAGGGTTCATGAAGGAGGGGGGAGCGGTAGAGAGGGGAAAAAACGAGCTGATACCAAGGGCTCAAGCAGAAAGCAAATGTTTTGAGAATGATGGCAACAAATGTACAAACGTGCTTGACACGATGGATGTATGGATGTATGGATTGTGATAAGAGTTGTACGAGCCCCCAATAAAATGCTTAAAAAAAGAGGTTACAGCCTTGGAAACCCTCAGGGGTAACTCTATTGTGTCCCCATGGGGTCACTCTGAGGCCGAATCAACTCCATGCCAGTGGGGTTAACAGACAAAAGTTGACAAAAGTCGTGCCCAGAACAGAGGGAGGTAAGTGGTGGTGGAGCTGGGACGGGATCCAGGACCTGTGAGCAGCTCAGGAAAGCTGCAGTAATGGAACACTTGGCAAGTCCCCCGGCAACACTTGGAATACCAGCAAGCACAGAGGAGAGCTAGGTTCGGCGGGCCCCAAGCCCAGGCTCCCCCACCCCACTGAGGCAGGCACGGTCTATGAACCACCCAGCTCCATTCTAAAGGAACTGGTTCCCCAAGACCTGGACACTTCCAAGCTCAATGACCCAGTTTCAGATCCTGACTCTGAACTCACTTCTCTAAGCCCCTTTCCTCCGCTGTTCATAGAACGAAAGGGGACATGTGACTGCTTTGTGTGTTGTGGAGAACAGACACAGCAAACACATGCAGATTCAACAGTTTCTGCTCGTGCACTTTAGGGACACGGGGTACATCCTTGAGTTGAACAAGCATTCTCACTCACCCTCCCTTGTTCCTCCCTTGATAACAGAAATGCAATGCCACCCAAGGTTCCCGCCGGATTTTTTGAGTGGCTATTGACAATCTCATCCCATACAGACAGTTCTTTTACAAGCACAGCTTTCGTCTTTTAAACTAGGTAAGCTAATCCATTGCTCTGCTGTTTGCTTTTCAGAAGGCGGCAGTGGATATCTTTAAGTTTAAAGCTGATCTGTGGGTGGCAATAGTTTCTAGGTTTCATCCAGCCTCCAGGGCTCTAGAAAGTGTGTAAGAATGTGAAATTTGTTCTGCAATTCCAATCCCGACTCCCATACACACACCCCGCCTTTGATCAGGTTTCTTCTATCAACTCTTTGATCAAAATATCCTGTAATGGCAGCTGGGCACCCTCCAAGTACTCTGGTCTCATGGCAGAAGGGGGCACACATCCCAGACCTCCCTCCTTCCTATTCCTGATTCTTCCTCTGCTTCTCGAGGCAAATGGCGACCAAGTGCTGTGCCTTAGCTGGTCACCTGAAAGGTTTTTCAAGACCCTACGCCTCACACAACCCATTAGGAGGTAGTACGGAAAGCACTACCTTATCAGGCCGATCAACGGGGCTGTCCCATGAAACCATGCCGAAAAACCTCCACACCAAGGAACCGCATCCCTTGAGGGATTTCGTTGTCCACTGCAGCCCAGACAGCTATTCTTTTGGGTTGCTGTTGTAAATATACCCATCCCACAGGGAACGGGGTGCTTCCAGGCCCAATGGTTCAGGAGTGCCTTTCAGTAATTAGCACATAGGCTTGGAACTAAGAGCCGGAACCCTCGGCTATTCCCCAAACACTAGGCACTTGTCTGCCAGGCTGCCTGGCTACTAGCCCACCCGGGCAGCACACAGCAGCAGCTGTCTTGTCGGCTTCCTACGAGCTCACGAAAGGTGGCTGACCTGGGAACCTGGTTGTGGCAAACACCCAAGCAAGAGACCCAGGGACACTACGATCTATTCTTAGCCTGGCCGTGCAGGAAAAAAGGAAGGAGGGCCAAGGACAAAAGGACTCTTCCCAGAATCCCAAGGTTTCTCAGATACCAACTCAAGGGCCTGCCACTCAAATTGTACTGCCATGCAAAGATCTTACCAGAGTCAAGGTCTGCCTGACATTTGACACAGCAGCCTGGGAGACAAACCAGAAGTTTAAGTAGATAACCCAAGTTGAGCCTTCTTTCAAGAGGTTCTGCAGACACAAGTCTGAAGCAAAAGCTGGGCTGGAATCAAGGGATGCACTTGGCCTTTCAGACCTATTATTGCGGCAATGCTGATGTGCAATGCACTTAACAATCTCGGCCAAAAAAAAGAAGGAACAGGCTGGCAGAGTTCAGATGTCTTCAAAGTGCCCCTCTGTGATTGCTGCGCTGGGCCGCTGCCATGCACTTTGGGTGAGTGAGAAGGTCCAAGTAAATTCGGGGGAAAGGTGACCGGCTGCACTGTTCTAGCCTCCTCCGCGCCAAGGTCCCAGACGCTGGGGGCAAGGCTGTCAATGCTGGGGTGGCGGGAGAAGGTGGGCCATTGTCACAGGCTGGGGAATCCTCAAAGGGTCCATAGAGATGTGAGGATCTTAACAAAAGCAGGTGAGGGGTGGCATCGCCCAGCTCCTAACCCCAAAGAAAACTAGGGGTCGGGGATGGTATCCGAAATCTCGGCTGCTTCACGTGGCCCCCACCCCGACACTCGCACATTGCCCAGCGGGACACTGTTCGGCCAAGCTCAGGCTACCTGGTTTGAGTTTGCAGACGCGGGTTCAGGGGGCCACTAGCTATTCCGGCGCCCCTCCGTCGCAACGCGCGCGCGAAATGCTGCTGTCACGTTTGGGAGAAGAGCTCACCCCCCTCCAAGTAACTTCTCGTCCGAGAAGCTAACCCCCCGCTGCTCCGGGCGAGTCGACCCGTCGGCCAGGCTTCAGCCAGGCCCAGTGCCCACCAAAGGCGGTGGCAGGCCGGCTAAAGTGGGGGCAGGAGAGGAGCAGGGGTGAACTCACATGTTGAGGACGTTGCGCTTGTTGCTGAGGTAGCTCTCGGGCAGCGGGGACAGCTCCTTGAGGACGGAGCCCATCAGCATGAACGTCACCAGCGCCCATGGCAGGTAGCGCCGCACGGCCGCCCGCACCAGGGTCCCCCGGAGGAACCACGCGCAGCGCTCCAGATGATCCATGTCCGACCTCGTCGGCCACCGTCCGCCGCCGCGGGCCCTCTCGGCCACCGTCGCACCCTTCTGGTGGGTGCTCCGCCTCCCTCGGAACGGTGGGCGTGGCCGCGCGCGGGCCCCACCCCTTGGCGGAGAGTTGGCGCGCCGGCGTCCGCGCGCTCCCCCTTCCGGTGACTGGCGGGTACTGCAGCGCGCTCATCTCCCAACTCCTGCTACCATACCAGGCCGTGGCGCGCCTGTGCACCGCAGGTTCGAATCTCACTCTCACCCGGGGACTTGAGTTCCTGGATGCTGCAAGAAGGAGCCCAGGTGACACCAGGGGTTAGACATTGGGCTGCTCACCCCGAGGTCAGCAGTTCACACCCACCCGTCACTCCACGACGGAACAGCTGAAGCTATTTGCTCCCGTAAAGATACTATATATAAACTCGGAAACCCTATGAGCCAAAATCAACTGGAGGGCAGTGGGTTTGGTTTGGGTTTCGGGTGGTACAAATGGTTTATGTGCTGCCTGCGAACGGAAAGATTGTAGGTTCGAGTCCACCCCGAGGCGCCTTGGAAGAAAGGCCTGGTGATCTACTTATGAAAAAAATCAGCTCTTGAGAAACCTATGGCGTTCGGTTCCTCTCTGACACACACGGGGTCACTACGTGCCGACTTGATGCAGCCGGTAGTGGTCGACTGAAACCCTCTGCCACGCAGCCGATTCTAGTGCAGAGCGACCCTGCTACTGGTAAGAGACTGGGATCATTGGAGGAGGTGCGCCTGACCCGGGCAAGTCATGGTATCTCCAGTGGCCTCCTATGCAAGTGAAAGTTGGACATTGAATAAGGGAGACTGAAGAAGAACGGACGCTTTTGAACGATGGTACTGGCGAAGACTGTTGAAAATACTGTGGGCCCAGGAAGGGAAGAGGAAGGTGGGGGGAGAAAGGGAGAACCAATCACAATGGTCTACCTATAACCCCTTCCCAGGGGGACGGACAACAGAAAAGTGGGTGAAGGGAGACATCGGTCAGTGTAAGACATGAAAAAATAATAATTTATAAATTATCAAGGGTTCATGAGGGAGGGAGGGAGGAGGGAAGGGGGAAATGAGCTGATATCAAGGCTCAAGTGGAAAGAAAACGTTTTGAGAATGATGATGGCAACACATGTACAAATATGCTGGACACAATGGGTGGAAAAGAAAAGGAAATACTGGGGACTGCCAAAAGAACAACCAAATCTGTCTTGGAAGAACAGAGTGCTCCTTAGAGGCAAGGATGGCGAGACTTTGTCTCACATTCTTTGGACATGTTGTCAGGAGAGACCAGTCCCTGGAGAAGGACCTGATGCTTGGTAAAGTGAGGGGCAGCGAAAGAGGAGGCGGCCCTCAGGGAGATGGATGGACACAGGGACCGCAACAGTGGGCCCAAATACCATGGCGCAGGACTGGGAGTGGTTCCCCCTGTAGTGAGTAGAGTTGGAATTGGCTTGATGGCACTAACAACAACCACCTTCCCCACCAGAGGGTGGTAAAGGGCCACAGATGTCAGGGTGTGCCCTCAGTGGGGACCACTACACTGTCACGCTTCATTTTCACATGTATCTACTCAACAGATACGTGTTGGTACCTGCTGTGGAGGCTCTGGAGTGGAGACAAGGATGCACGCGGGAGTCGTAAAGATGGATGGAGGGCTCGAGGCGGGTGTATGTGATCCTTGACCTCAAGGGAACGTAGAAATTAATGAAGGTGATAGCCATGGATTTATTCAGCCAACCAACACTTGTCAACTGCGTCCTACTGGACTAGATCTTGGCACTTAAAATATTTTGCATAACCGAGTTTCTCAAATAACCATAGATTTAAAAGCACAGTTTCCCAGGTTTGAGGTAGAAAACATCTAAGATGATCCTGGGATGTCTCAGCAACTCAGAAAACAAAGACGTCAGAAGGGATCAAAGAGACCCAAGGCCATTTTCAGAAGGTCATGGGACTCAATAGAAAGGTCAGAAATGGAACCATTTAAGCATAAATAAAAATTGCACATGCTGCAGATGAAAACACAACCAAGATGTTTCAGTCTAAGGGCTTATCAGTTGGCAACCTTGGAGAAACCAACTCATTCTTTTGAAAACTGAGAAATAAAGACGAAGAATCCAATAGTTCCCCTGCCTCTCCTATCTCATGGAGCCACCGAGTACCCAAAGAGCAAGTGAATTTCTTGTAATAGAAAGAGTCTAACTTTAATAAATGAAGAATGAACAATAGAGTCAGGATTTCATCACCTGTAACATGGACATATGTGAGTTATCTTCATTTCAAATGCAGTCTGCAGGTATTCCTAAGGAGAAAAGATTAGATACTGCTGGCATTTCTGAATAGTCATTTCTGAATATTCATCTCACACGTTTCGCTCACAATAGTAGACCTGAGGTTTCTTCGAGCCCGTTTTCACAGATGAATGGACTTTGTAGATGCTACAGAAACTGAGGATTCTAACCCCAAATGTGGTCTGCTCAAATAAAGTAGGATTCTCTGACCGAATTCAAGATATCACTTCATGGGCAAACTGGACATCCCATCGGGCATCTTTTTGTAGTTGTTGTTGCACGGGTTTGGAGATTGTCACACCTCTTCTGAAGTGGCTCTGCCTTCAGTAAAGAAAGCACTCCTCTTTTCAGAGTTTCTGCAAGCTACTTTTATTTGCCTTTTTGTCTTTGAGAGCAGCATGCGTTTTCCAAAACAAAAATCACTATTTTTTGTGTGGAATGGCTGTCTGTCTGGAAATCATCTGAGGCTAAGCTTGTGTGTGCTCTGATCAAGCTGGACACGACTAGAGGAATGCACGCGCTCGCACACGCACCCACACGAATGCACGCCCACACACATGCAATGTTACACTACGGAACCCTTCCTGGATGCCCTCTGCTTTTCCAAAGTTCACTTGACCCATTTCCCTTTTATGAGGACCGATGTGAATCCTTATTCTCACCACCAAAAGAAGTCTGAGGAGGATCTTCGTGTTTACAAAACAAGTGAGAGGCCAATGTTTAGC